AGTCTGTGTCTCGCCACCTCGTGCCGCGATCCATGTGTGCAGTTGTCTGTAATCAGGATGATTTCGTCGGGGCCACCAGTATCTCAGGTACGGACTAAAACTTAATTGTTGCATACAAAATTGCTGTTCCACCATTGAATCCTCCTTACCGCAGAGCAAATTGCCTCCTAACTGCGCTCCGCAACCCTTCACCTATCGACTCATTCGTGTTCAAGCCAGTTATGTACATAAGGTTCGTATCGCAACCGATCGTCTACGAAGACCAGTTCGATGGCCATGGTTAGAACCCTCGCATTCAGCATGGCAGTCTTGCGAGTACGCTCGACTCTACAGACAGCTGTGTCCCAATCGTCGTAGGCTCGGACTTGCCGGTACGTCGGTACGTCCGTCGGTTGTGTCCCGTACGCTTCGGCTCAAAAGGCCTTAAAGTCGTCTGGCAAAATGTGTACGAGTTCCCGTAGCGTTTCGTCCCAATCGTTTGCTGCTCGTTTGAAATCGATAATACGTTGTTCGAGCTGGTCATGTAGGTCGATGTTGGTTTTACAGTCTGCACTTCGTTCTCGATTGTCCGTACTGCTACGGATGCGCCGGGCTGCGGTGGTGATCCGGTAGTCGTGTGTCTCGGTGAAATCCAGGTGCGGTCCTGGTGGATTCGGCTGTTCCGTTAACCGATGTATCCAGTCTGTGAACGAGTTTCGAAGTGCGAATGCACAACCATGCAGGGTATCAAGTCCGCCGAGAAACGCTTCTCGCGCAACGTCGCGTGGGGTTCCTTCTCCAAGTGGTCGAGTGTCCCAGATAAACACTCCTCGTAGTGCGACCAAGTATAGATGATTGACGTCTTCCCGAAACCGTTCAATGGCACGAATGTATATCCCACACTGTTTTTCGGCGATAGTGCCCTGCTCACGAAGCGCTGCGTATTGTCGTTGCGGAGTGTAGATGCAGTATTGAATGGTGGCTTCGGTTCTTTCCACTACAAACCTTCCGATTAGGTTGGCCAGGTAAACGTTCAGTTCCTCCGGGTCGGTAGGTTGAGCTGCACGAGCCACCTGGTGATGTACTCGTCGAATCCTTCCGTCAGTCCCGATAATGATGCCGAGTTCCACCATGGCAACCAAGTTGTGAGGTCAAGTTCGCAGCCGCAAACTCAGTGCACGAACCGCAGCCCAAACACGCAATAGTGAAGTTTGCCTCTTCGAGCGTGTCGTAATAAACGAAACGGCTAATCGCACTCGTCAATGCTACTCGATGTGGTGTCGGACGTTCCGAACGGTTGATGTCGGCGCAGCAGATCACCGATACTGTGTCAGCAGCGAGTGCACTTGGATCGAATATCCGGTCGATTAATCGCAGCAACTCGACCGCGCACTGATGGCCGTAGCGTGGATGTCGCCGTGGATGCGATGAGGGTCTATATCGGTACACGACAGTCGGAGCTTGCGATTCAATTGCGCAATAGTAGCTGATGAAGTCGTCGTCGTACACTTCCGGGTATTGATCATGCGCACGCAACCGTCGTTCGTTCTCGCTCGTGATCCGGACTTCTGTGACAACACAATCTCGTTCGTCCAAAATATCCGATGATGGTCGTTGACAGTACTGTGCCCCGGTGTCTCCCACTACCATACTATATCACCTAAATCGCGGATCAATATGACGTAGACTATTCGAAGTATGCGATCTGCACAATTTACGACAGGTTAGTGGTATTGATTGCTCATTCAATGCTCAGTAACAGTCGTCGATACTGTCAACTAAATCGTGGTGAATACATCGTTCTATTCAATTAGACTGCAAGCGATTCGGAATCAGATTCACTAATCAGGCATTTGAGTTGACTTCATGCATCCTGGTGGTGGTGAATTGGTTGTGCATGTGATACTGTACATCTGCAATTTCACGGAGTAGTTCTAAACCGCGACTCAACTTACTTCGTATGTCCTTCTAATTATCGTTGCATATTATCTCCGATTCTGATAGATGTCGCTGCTGTATATATTCATGGATATTTGATCATGCACAAATTTGATGATTTGCATCGGTAGTCATGGTCGCAATATTTTGTCACATCGCTTGAGATTTCAATGGCGATCTGTCATGCACGTTGCAATCACCAGTTCACGGCAACAAAGCGCACTGATGCACCCTACAATTACCATGATGGTGTCATTTGTTATGGAAATGAAATTTGCACATCGGTGATTCTGGATGACGTGGCTCCAACAACTCACCGCGACGAGTGGAGTAATGTCAGAGTCAAACATCAACACTTCTATTTCAGGTCAGTCGTGGTTCGTTGGTATTACATTGTACACTCTATATCTCCCCCATTCACCCCTTCTTTACTCCAACTCTCCTAGGTAAGCAAGCACCGGCGGCGGCAGTCGGCACGGATAAGGCGATTTCTCGGCAATGCCGGCAATGCGATACCATCGATCACTGACTCGACCGTCCGGAAATGTAACTTTGTCGAATCCGGCCATCTGTCTGTAAGCCAATCGGACTCCACACGTCAAGCTGTCGTTTGTGCGGTCGAGCGGTGTAGTGTGGACAGGTACATCCAGCAAAAACTGGTTGCGACGAGTCATCTCATGCAACATTCTTTCCGGTAAAGTCGGAAATTCGCGTGGAAACGTGGCTGCAGTCTCGTCGAGTGCGTCTGCTTCGCGGGATAGTCGTCCAGTTATCGGAAAGTGTTTTGTTATCGCCATACTACGAGCGCGGAAATCGCAGAAGACATCGTTGGTTTGCATGATGGCCGGATACTGCGGTTGCGGAATGATTACGTCAATACGACGACGCTTCGCGTTGTCTACCGCAAACAGGTGTGGATCTGGAATTGCGAGTTTCGTGTCGGTTCGTAAATCGACTTCGTCCAGTCTGACGCGCGCTTCCGCAATTTCGGTAATACCTCGTTGGTCTTGTCGCTCCGCCTCCTGCAGTTCCTTCAAAATTGGATCCAACCATGTTGACGTTCCCCGCAGCCGAACCATCAAATACATGAGCTTGTCACGACTGCAAGTGGGCAGCCCTTTCCAGAGAGAATCGGCCTTGCCGTTGATCTTAGTGTTCATTCCACTCAACTGTGTGCCAGCTCGATCTATTGCGTCATCCAACGCGTGTAGCACTGTGAAAAATCTCCGCCAGTGATGATCGTACGATGCCAGCCTNGCCGAGTTCCACCATGGCAACCAAATTGTGAGGCCAAGTTCGCAGCCGCAAACTCAGTGCACGAACCGCAGCCCAAACACGCAATAGTGAAGTTTGCCTCTTCGAGCGCGTCGTAATAAACGAAACGGCTAATCGCACTCGTCAATGCTACTCGATGTGGTGTCGGGCGTTCCGAACGGTTGATGTCGGCGCAGCAGATCACCGATACTGTGTCAGCAGCAAGTGCACTTGGATCGAATATCCGGTCGATTAATCGCAGCAACTCGACCGCGCATTGATGGCCGTAGCGTGGATGTCGCCGTGGATGCGATGAGGGTCTATATCGGTACACGACAGTCGGAGCTTGCGATTCGATCGCGCAATAGTAGCTGATGAAGTCGTCGTCGTACACTTCCCGGTACTGTTCATGCGCACGCAACCGCCGTTCGTTCTCACTCGTGATCCGGACTTCTGTGACAACACAATCTCGTTCGTCCAAAATATCCGATGATGGTCGTTGACAGTACTGTGCCCCGGCGTCTCCCACTACCATACTATACCAACTAGACCGTGGATCAATATGATGTGAACTATTCGAAGTATGCGATCTGCACAATTTACGACAGGTTAGTGGTGTTGATTACTCATTCAATGCTCAGTAATAGTCGTCGATACTGTCAACTAAATCGTGGTGAATGCATCATTCTATTCAATTAGACCGCAAACGATTCGGAGTCAGATTCGCTAATCAGGCAGTTGAGCTAACGTCATGTATCCTGATGGTGGCGAGTTGGTTGTGTATGCGATATTGTACATCTGTGATTTCACGGAGTAATTCTAAGTCGCGCTTCACCTTACTTCGTATGTCCTTCTAATTATTGTTGCATATTATCTCCGATTCTGATAGCTGTCGCTGCTGTATATATTCATGGATATGTGATCATGCACAAATTTGATGATTTGCATCGGTAGTCATGGTCGCAATACTTCGTCATGTTGCTTGAGATTTCAATGGCGATCCTTCATGCGCGTTACAATCACCAGTTTACGGCAACAAGTCACACTGATGCACCTTACAATTATCATGATGGTGTCATTTGTTATGGAAATGAAAATTGCACATCGGTGATTCTGGATGACGTGGCTCCAACAACTCACCGCGACGAGTGGAGTAATGTCAGAGTCAAACATCAACACTTCTATTTCAGGTCAGTCGTGGTTCGTTGGTATTACATTGTACACTCTATATCTCCCCCATTCACCCCTTCTTTACTCCAACTCTCCTAGGTAAGCAAGCACCGGCGGCGGCAGTCGGCACGGATAAGGCGATTTCTCGGCAATGCCGGCAATGCGATACCATCGATCACTGACTCGACCGTCCGGAAATGTAACTTTGTCGAATCCGGCCATCTGTCTGTAAGCCAATCGGACTCCACACGTCAAGCTGTCGTTTGTGCGGTCGAGCGGTGTAGTGTGGACAGGTACATCCAGCAAAAACTGGTTGCGACGAGTCATCTCATGCAACATTCTTTCCGGTAAAGTCGGAAATTCGCGTGGAAACGTGGCTGCAGTCTCGTCGAGTGCGTCTGCTTCGCGGGATAGTCGTCCAGTTATCGGAAAGTGTTTTGTCATCGCCATACTACGAGCGCGGAAATCGCAGAAGACATCGTTGGTTTGCATGATGGCCGGATACTGCGGTTGCGGAATGATTACGTCAATACGACGACGCTTCGCGTTGTCTACCGCAAACAGGTGTGGATCTGGAATTGCGAGTTTCGTGTCGGTTCGTAAATCGACTTCGTCCAGTCTGACGCGCGCTTCCGCAATTTCGGTAATACCTCGTTGGTCTTGTCGCTCCGCCTCCTGCAGTTCCTTCAAAATTGGATCCAACCATGTTGACGTTCCCCGCAGCCGAACCATCAAATACATGAGCTTGTCACGACTGCAAGTGGGCAGCCCTTTCCAGAGAGAATCGGCCTTGCCGTTGATCTTAGTGTTCATTCCACTCAACTGTGTGCCAGCTCGATCTATTGCGTCATCCAACGCGTGTAGCACTGTGAAAAATCTCCGCCAGTGATGATCGTACGATGCCAGCCTGCGAATCAGCATCGCATGTGGAGCGTCTGCTTCCCGAAAGAAACTCGTGTACTCGACCACGCTGGCCAGTTGACTCTGTGCTTGTCGCAGCCACATGCGGATTGCCACCAGATAGATGGCCAGAGCCTTTATCTCACTCTCTACTGCGGCCGGGTACGGATCGAATCCGAACGGAAGATAGTATGCTGGCTCAACGCGCCGTGGTTGCTGTGACAGTCGTTCCTCGGCAATAGCATATCGTTCACGGCCGGTTGTTTCTGGCGTGGTCTCGACGTGCAAAGTGCGGTGTTGTGGATCAGAAGATACGGTCGTATCCCGAGGTGTCGCAACTACAGTCGTGTGGCTGGTGTTGTTGGTTCGTCGGTCCACCGTTGTTGACGACGACGCTCCGGGCGTGTCGCCTACGGCTGCAGATACGGCCGGTGCATAGAATGACGGGAAGTACTCCTGCGGTGCTCGGTGTTGCAGATTTTGCATCCGCTCCCGTCGGTTGGCTGTGTTGATCCGATACTGTTCGAGCTCCGTGGTCGCCGTCCTCCACAATTGCAGATACGCATTCTGCTCCCGAAGCTGTCCGTCGATCTTTGCGGCGAATGATTGTGCGGTCGGACATTCAAGAATGTCGCCAATGAAGTTGTTCAGCATCAGTGCCTGCCCTCCGGTACTTGCGTCAATGAACCGAACCACCGCCTTGAACAACAGATTCAACGTGGTGATGAATCGTCCACAGAGCCCTGCGATCTGCCTTCGCGTACATTGGAGTGCTGCTCTGCTTGACTCGAAGAAGTTCTGTTTCTCGATCTCGCGTTCACCTTCTGAACGTGCATGCGTCGCTAGCACCACACTAGCGTCGTACATTTCTTCCAACTGACTGCGATAGCATCTCAGAGCCCTGGTTATGTCCGTACGACGCTTCCTGTCGTTGTCTTGACTCGACTGTGTGACGCGCAGGCCAAAGTCCACGCCCTCTCGGTGTTCGCGGTAGTTACCGACTTCTTCCTGAAATTTGTGAATCTTCTCCTCCATCATGCAATAGATGCTGTCGTGTTCGGAGGCGTCGCCTCTGCGGTCAAGGGTGTTGCTCATGTTCGCGACCAGTGCTTACTCACCACCAGTTAGTCTCAATACCCAAATTTCCCTTCAAATTGTTATGAAGTGTACAAATCAAACTAGCAATTCTGTCTCACAACACTATAACCTCACAATAGCTGTCTTGAATTACGTCTATTACTTGTTATTGTCCAATATGTTCCTGCATTCATCTTGAGGTGAATATAGGACACGGCTGTAACTGACGCAGTCGAATCCGAACGCGACCCAACTGTCCAGCTGATTCTGTTGTCATGACCACCTCTACCACGGCAAGTAATATGGTTATACATCTAGATTTATGACTTCACATGTTGGTCGAATCAGCTACTTGTATCAAGATCATTTCGCAGACATTCGGAAAATTCGCTTTCAACGGTCGTTCATGAGACTACTCGCAAAGCATATAATACTTGGAAGATTTCAGCACATGTAGCGCATGTTGCGTGCCAACGTGACTGATGTCTACAATGATCTCCGAATTTGCATTGCGCATTGCGCGTTAACCTAGCCGGTCTCTGATGTGGGCGTCCGGTCAGTATCGGTTGTTAACTGCCGACGACTTTCACACGAGACTAATTTACATGCCAAATAACTTATCTTCAACTTCAACCTCCAGAACGTGTCTTTCTTCAACTAGTTCTTCGCCGCCGCTTGCGAAGCCGACGGTATCAACCACAGTGACTATAACTATTAACCTTTGCTACGAGTGCGCGACCGACGTATTACAGTCTTACTACCACTTTCTACGAACTACAATAGATCTTCCACCGTTAGTTGTGGTGTGTCGCCACAGTTGCATAGAACTGTCCACAAGCCGTGTCTTGACTAACAGACTGGACCACTTGCGTTTGCCTTTGAGGGACCGCAAAGCCGCCACAGTCCGATTGTTAACAACGAAATATCGATCCTGATAACGGTATGCATCAACTGTTATGCCAATGTCATCGAGTTGCCTCTTCCGATGAATATGGTCAAACGCTGAAAATATGCTGCACCCCTTGTAGCGTCCCGCCGCGAATGTGGACCGGATGCTGTCCTGAGAAAAGCGAAACTCTGATAGTTCTAAATATAGCCAAGTGGACGCAGAGTCCTCACTGGCCCTGCCAACTACGGTGTTGCTCATGTTGTAAAAATAGATTTAGACTGCTTGCAGACGATTGCAGAAATACTAGTATAATTTTTCAGCTGCAGCGTAGTGTGACTCTGTTCTGTAAAAATGTGTAATCCACCTTATAGCGCGGCTGTAAGCCGACCTATAACGAAATATCAATATTGTCTGAAATCTACTATCAACTAACGTTTTCCGACTGCGACCACTAAATTCTGACGTCCCCAGTTTGACGACTACTTTCTTTAGTACAACTCCTGATGTGTATTCCGTTCACCCCATGTCAGTCCTGTTCAGTTGATAAATCCATTCGAATGACGGTAAGTTCGAAACAGCGCCAGTCGGTGATGATGGAGGTTGGTTCCTGACTGTCTGTCATCGGTACGTCCAAAGTTCCTGATTTGAGTCCTGATTTCGTCCTGTCGATTTGCGACTGTCACTTGGTCGTCCATCCAACACCAATTAGATCTTACCATGACCTAGCCTTCTGCGACCTTCATACCGATTGAGCAATGAGGTTGACGTCAACGCACCATGAGTCTCATGTCCCTGAGTAGTCTGACTTCAGTCGTCGAGTCGTCGGTCGACGTTCAGTCGCGGTTTCTCCCCAACCTTTCTCTTCCCCCCTGACGGGGTACATTTTAGTTCGCATCGGTGGTAGCAGCCGAGGTGCCAGCCGCCGCTTCGAGTTCCGCCACGTTCACCCCTGCGAAACCGGTCTTCGCCTTCAGTAAGGTCGCTAGCGCCTCTCGGTGGTCAGCCGACAACTCTGCCGCCGCTACAACTGGGGCGATGTCGCGCTGTTTGTGACTCGTATAGCTGGCACTCTTGCGTAGGTCCACTCGAAGATTAACTGGAAACAGTTTGGTCAACAGGGATGCAACGTCGGTCGACAACGCACGTTCATACTCCTCCTGTGCGATCCGTATGCTGCCAAGCATCCTACTCGGAAGATCCGCCAGTTGAGTGTCCCCAGTGCCAATGAGTAGTCGTAGCGTCGAATCTCGTTGCCAATCAATCACATCATGCAGCCAATGTGTAAAGGCAGCGCTCGAAGACGAGTGTAACGCTCGATGTAAATCCTGTAGATTCCGGTGGTCAACGATAACTGTCCGTGGCACGTTGCTGTAGATTGCGTCAATCCGCCGCTTGTAGCGACGCAGTCCGTAGACTTCTTGCTCCACTGGGCTCAGCCACCTGAGTGTTCGACAGTACACGGAACTGTCGATCTGATGAATCCAGAATAAGTCCGGATGTACTAGATCGTAGATGTTGGCCATCGTGAGTTTCGCAAGGTCTAAAGTCGCGACACTGCACACAACGAACGCAGCTCCGAATAAATTGGCGTCGATAAAGATAAGTAACTGTCGCGACCCGCTCAAAATCTCCTTCCAGGGCACCGCTCGCAACGGCACGTCGTAACAGATGTTCTTCACTAGGTTCAGCGCTTCGACGGCGACTTCGTCGTTGTACAATAGCCGCTTGAAGTTGCTCGACGGTACTGACAAGCACGGCGTGAGTGCTCCGATGATCGTATGAAATCGGGTGTTGAACGCTGGCGCGATGTAATTCATGTATCCGATTAATGATGCCAGTTCCTGGCCGCTACGCACCTCTAGGTTCCAATTCATGATGTTGTTGAATTTTTCAGTGCTGACTCGGCGAATTCCTCGATAGAATGAGTAACCCAACGATCCGCAACTCTCGACACCAACCTTAAGCTTGCGTAACGAATTCTTCACATTCATTCCTTTGATAGTCGTGAAGAAGATGTTCAACTTGAGCAGCAACTCCATGGCATGTGCCCCACTGAATGCGATGTCATCAGTCTGCGCTTGCGTATAGTAAGCAGTTCCCGACGCTTTTTCTTGTGCGTAACCCCACGTGAACGTGAGTAAAAGCGTATGCAGGGCACTGTGCTCGTAAGTGTGTGAGTTTTGGTCGGTTGAGCTCGTCTTAATTGCAGTGCCGCGCAGCCACGTCAGCTCGACATCGATGGGGTCGGAGTCTTCCTCACAGCAATAATCAGCATCGCGATCAGTGGGCCCAGTTTCATCCAGCATAGCTGGTCGTGGTTCCGCACCCAGCTTACTCTGGCCGTCATCCCGCATGAGGGGATCACAGACAGCCTCAGCTATGCTGTCATCATGTAAAGTTCCAGGTATGACTTCGCAATTACCGTCTTCACGACGCTCGACCCCGGCCGCTGCGAGATCCTTGCCAGTTTCGGATGTAGTGCACGGTCCATGAAGCCACACTTCGCCATCGAACGCTGTGTCGGCTGCCGCACTTTTAGCGGTTCCAGCAACGTCACCGACAGGACGGAAAGACTTTCGTATGGAGCGCTGTGCGGTCGCAAGTGCAGCTTCACATTCCGCGCGTGCCGTCTGTTCATCGTGTGTCAACGCACTCGGCGTCAGTGTCGCAATCAGCGTGGCCTCCAGTGCCGCCATCTTATCCTCTAGTTGACTGCGGTGTTCTCGCGGTTCAGTGTCGTAGAGTGCCTGCTGAGTCCGAAGTTGCTCCAGCATATTCGGCAACTCAGTATGTGTCCCAGGTGTTCCCGGACTTCCAGATGTAGACGTGGTCTGCCCACTGACTCGTTCCCGCTGTCTCACTTCAGCTCGTGCAACCGCTTCGCATTCGGCCTCAGCCGCTGCGTCATATTTGTAACTGACCATCCGTTCGACGAAAGCACGCGCCACCTCTTCGGGCAAATCAATCGTAGTGAGTATGCCGTTCACTCCGGCAGTCCGCGCTACCTCTGTACGCGTATTCCACTCTGTGACGATTACGTCCAGAAAGCTATCTTCAAACTCAGCGATCAACCGCTCATCACAGACCATACTGCTAAGCTTCATGGACGCTTGTCCCCATAGAGCAGGCATCGTCTTCAGTCCCAGCTGCCCACGGACAGACAAAAACATCACGTAGGCACACTGTATGCCGAGCCAGCACATCACTCGTGTCGTGTATTGTAGATGATTGAAAGCCTT